AAAAGTGGTTGTAATATCTGCTTTTGCAGGTGATGGGAGAATATTGTTTTTATATACTAGCTGAATTTTGAATTCATAGAGGAACTATTACCCATTCTTTAGAGTCTTGTAGCAAATCTCTGATTTGATCAGATGGTCTAGAGCAGTGGCTTTCAAACTTTTTTTTGACCTTGACCTGCAATAAGATTATATATATATATATATATATATGTATACATATATATATATATAAAAACTTAATGATCCAATGCATACAAAAATACACGGACACACACGAACATAGGACTACATAGAAATTTACCTTCGCCTCAAATTTCTTCCAAAATCTACCATTCAGCTTTGGATGATAGACCAAAAAATGGAATGCCTACTTCAGTATCGTTTCCAGGCACAGTAAGACTTGTACTTGAGCGAGGGTCGTAGATTGCACGGGTATCCCTCATGCCATGCCAGTGATGCAAACAAGGCATGCTATTTGGATTTATTGTTCTCTTAATATTCACTTTGAAAGATAGGTGCATACTCTAAATGTAACTTATTCCAAATGTCCTCTTTGTGCTTTATGTATGAAAATTCTCTCAGTCAACTGGAAGTATACATGTATATTTTTTTATTGGAGAATAAAACATTGCAATAGTTAATGATGATTGTGAGGTTGTGAATTTTATTTGTCCAAAAGACAAAGACATATAAATATGTTTTTTATTTTATTTTTTATTTAATTTATTATTTTATTTTTATATATTTATATAAATAGTAAAAATATATATATTTATATAATAGTAAATATATATATATATATAAAATAGTAAAAAAATAGTAAAAAATAGGTGTAGATTGACAATTAATGTTGAGAGAATATGATCTCTAATAATTTTGGGGAAACCATTATCTCCTTTTTTGGGGTTGCTTTCAGTGAAATTGCATAACCAGAATTAAACAAATTTTCAAGCCCAGGAGATGAAGAGAAGGTAAGTTTTGACTTCAGTCAGTTCCTATTAGGGAGGAAGGAAAGCTCACCAATTTGGTGGAAAAATCACCACAGACAACAGCCACGCTGGCTGAACTAGCACCGTAATATCCTTTTACGTGCACCTCATTTTGGAGAGAATATTTGTTTAATTTTGCAAAAGTCTCATCAGGCTTCAGTTGACGATGCTGAGGAATTATGGTTCCTGCCCGTTTATATCAAACTTCAAAAATGGGTCTACCAGAATTTTTAATAATAAAATTGTAATCATAATTAAATTTTGAGTGAAATTTCAGATAGATTCTTGTTTCCCAGTAGTTCATTCTGTAAAAGCATCATTTGGCTTTGGCAAGTGTTGATTTTAATATTTGGCCACTTGGCATTATGCCAAAATATATATTTGGTAAATTTCTAAAATAAACACCCATTTCCCCATCCATCTGTCCAGTCCCAATGCAGCAAAAATTTCATAATACCATAATTATTTCTGTTACATACAGTATACTCTGGTGTTTTCTGTTTTATTTCATATTTTTAAAAGCCACTAAATTAGTTTTACCATCTGCTAATATGTCATGATCGACAGTTTTAAAATGTTGAGATTCACTGTACTCTGGGGATGGTGACACTGTCTGGGAGGGGTCATTTTTGTATGCAATATTTTAGTCCCACCAAAGATGCGAGGAAGGTTTTCTAGTTATGTTCCTTCTCCAGAAATGCATTAAAGATCTCAAACACACGTTAAGACTTGTAAAAGATGGATTAATGCTACTGCCAAGTCATTTTCTATAGTGGCTGTACCAGTTTACACGCCCACTGGCAATGTCTGAGAATTCCAGTTATTCCATATCCTTCTTAGCACTTAGGGCTGTCAGTACTTTTAGTTTCTACTATCATAGTGGGTATGTAGTAGTTATCATAGTCACTTTAAATGAAATCTGTCTAAAATATCTCATGCCTCCCAACTTTTTAAAGCAGAATGTAAATGAAATAGTCGCTCTGTTACAGATGACTAAGTTCTGTTATTTTGAGTAGTCATTCCTGTTGCTGTTTATGGCATATCTGTCCATTGCAGTGAGCAGTCCCCTCTTAATGCTGTCATAGGGGCTCACTCTAGAAGCTTCTCCTCCACTCCTTCACCAACAGAGAATAAAGTAGATTAGAAACTGTGTGTTCCAATTTGTAAGCACACATCCTTCTAAGTGCTACTTTAGGGCCTTAGCAGTGCACCAATAACTATTCTCTTTGCAAACCTCAGAAACAGCAAATTCTCTTACCCTTTGCCTGTTCGTGACCCTGTCCCAGATCTCCATCCACTCTACCAGCCTCCACCGTTATGAACAAGGATTAGCTTATTGAAGTCCTGGGTCAGCCTAACTCCCGAGGAAAATCGAGTTTGGCTGATGACTAGTGGAGACAGCCCCTTCACTGCAGGGGCTGGATGGGGTTGCAAAGAAAAGGGAAGGGCATGCCTGGCAAGGTGAGGAGCCAGCTACTGCTGGCATAATGGGATCTGCTTATCTTGCTTATGTCAGGAGGCCAGCCATATAAAGCATCAGACAAAAGATTGGGCCTGTTTCCAGTCTTAATTCAGGGTGATTTCAGGTTTCATGCCGTCACTTTCTCCCTTTGTTGAATGTAACCAGACTTCCATGAGAAAATGATCAGGATGAAGGGTGTCTGGAGAAGGCATCTAATCTAGCCTCTCTGCGTATTTAAGAACCTGACTATTTTACCGTTGTGAGTCTGTCTTCATTAAATGTGTTTGGCATGGATCAGTATCTGTTCTTCGTAATTTGTTAAGATGTTTATTACACTTTTTTAAGACATCAGCAGGGATAATACTACAGAAACAGAATGCCCTGATATTTCCCTTCAGTACTCTGGGTTAACCTGTACACCAGTAGACCATTGCACGAAGTTTCATTAAATATGATATAAAAATGATCAGTGGATTAAGTGTTATTAATTACTGTTCTCCTGAGAGACTACATCCAGGGTTGGTAAACTGTAATCATGAAAGTCATCCGTTTTTCCTCCTTATGCTGTTCTTGCATATCCTCTGCTGTTTCTTTGCGTACTTTCATTTCTACTTGACTCAGGCTTGAGAGTGGAATAAATTAAAGCCCAGAACTTTTAGAATATACGGATTAAAGGGGACCCACAGAGGGCCAAGATCCCAACATTAATGGATATGTAGGATCGTGTTTGTGAAAGTGTCTTCTACAGCATTACGCAGAGAGAATGTTCCCTGTTTAGTATAAATCAAAATGCAAATACTCTCCAGCTTCATTTGTGAGCATTTTAAGTCAGACAGTCACAAAAGACGCAGTTACAAAAATCAGCAGTTTAGTCACACTTCCAAGTATTTTTTTTCCAGATTCTTTAATTTATACTGAATTTTTTCTAAACTCATTAAGTAAACATTGGATCTTGTTTCCAAAATTAGCCATCGCTCATCGCATCACTGCCCTTCCCTCAAAGGAGCAAGAAAGTTCTGTCTGTATTGATTTTGGTCACGAGGGGACTGCTTCCTTGTGTAACTTCTGTTTGGAAAGTTTGAAGTAATCAAATAGCTGATCTCCCCTCTCAGACAGACAGTCAGGTCAGCAGAAAATATTTCTCCTGGCAGCTCCTCCTTCCGTCTAGTGTTTCTTTTCTTAGGCCTAAGAGGGTAGGGTAAAAACAAACTCCAAACAAAGAAGAGTTTTCACTTTTGCTTCTAGAAGTGGCACTGGAATTCAGGTCACAAAAGTAATGTTTTCTTGCAGATGCACTAAGTAATGGGATTTGAGCTGCTCTCCCATATTAGGATGTTCAGAAGAAAGAATGATTCCCACCCCTCCATGCCCCCAGTGAAAGTATTTTTATTGTTTTCACTGATAATGAAAGGAGTACATGCTCAGTGTGAGGAATTTCAACAGTACATGAAAAGTAGAATGTGAAGGTTCCCATAATTGGTGTTTTCCCTCAGAGTGTGTGTATGCTGTCAACGTAAAATGGATGGTGCTTGGTGTACTGTTCTATAACATCCTTTTTTTCCACTGAATATTTTGCAGGCTTTTTGCTGTATCAGTGTCTGCAGATCTGTCTGCAGCCTTTTTTTTTTTTAAGTGATTCTGCCATACAGATGAATCAGGGTTGATTTGCACAGTCCTCTCTTAATTGCGTCGTTTCCCATTTTCGGATGTTCTAAACTTGTGTTGTTTAATATGCTAGCCACCAGCCACCTGTGGCAATTTAACTTAATTCATGTTAAATTATGTTTAAAAATCAGTTCCTCAATCACACTAGCCATATCTCAAGTGCTCAGTATTTATATGTAAGCAGCACAGATAAAGAACTTTTCTATCATTGGACAGTACTGGTCTAAACTACTGGTTTTCAGATCTTTTTTTTTGAGTGCACGTTTCCATTCCTTTATTCATCCATTCTTCATTCATTCTATAACTAATCATTAAGTGACTCCGATGTGCCAGGCACTGTGCTAGGTATTTGGATGATTCATAAAACAACACCTGCCCTCGTAACGCTTACCATTCTGTCAGCAAAAGGCTTTGAGTACTCCCAATAAATACCTTTATAAGTCATATATGTATTCTATTGTGCTGTTATATTTTAAAACGTGTTAAAATAGGAATGAAAAAGAATGTGATAAAAATGTAAATAACTTCTGAAATAGTCTTCCCGTTTCCCAGCTTGGGGGCCGCTGTCCTGGACGATGCTCTTGAGCTAGGGAGTCATCTCTGAAGGTTCTTCCAGTGCTGAAACTGAACTGTTACCACATTCTAAATAGGAAGTTCTTGTATTTTAACATCTGTCGGTTTTTTCCTGCACTACTTGATTTTGTCCTTTTACTTATATGTTTATTTAGCAAGCATTTATTAAGTTCCTACTATATGCCAAGTAGGTGCCGGGAGATTGAACAAGTCAGGGTTCCTGCCCTCCAATGAGGCAGGCCAGCCAATTAGTTGTCCTGGTACTGGGTATTCTGGAAGTGCCACACAGGGACTTACAGCAGAAAAGCAGAATGGAGGACAGCGCTCATGAACGGGACCTCGTCGTTGGATGGTTATTGCACTCTGTTTTGAAACTTCATGGAACCACAGATTTCTCCAGCAGGCGCTATTTTTCTTCCTGGTATTTTCTTTTTTTTGGAGAAAATGTAAAATCTTAAGCCATTGATTTAGGAATATTGACCCACTGTCGATTACCACACTAAGTATCTCTTTATGGCAAATGCCTACCTTTCTATTTTTAACTTAGATCTTAAGGTTGGAAAGACTCTCTATAGGACAGAAGCTAAGTGCAAATAACTAGGTAGCACCTGTTGTTTGAGAGGGTGAGATCATCCCCCAGGGGTTTGTGCTTATTCATACTTTCATTTAACCAATATTTTAAAAATACCTCCTATGCACAAGAAGCACTTAATTCCAAAATACATTTCTCATGGGGGCTTTTAGTTAGGGAATTCTGAAGAATGTAAAGGACAATACTATTCAGAGCAAACTTAGAAATGAAAGAATTGATCATGTATTTTTTGTTTCTTGTCTTTCAGGGCAAGTTAAAGTGTTCAGAGCTCTTTATACGTTTGAACCCAGAACTGTAAGTATTCAGTTTTTCACTTTAAAATTGGCATAAAAACCAAAGGTGATTTCATTTAGATACTTCCTCTGGCCTAAATGGTCTGCCTTTTCTTTGATAGCCATAAATAGTTCACAGGAATGGGTGTTGCTTGCTGAACCTAGCAAATAAACATCCTTCTGCCAAAGCGGAAAAAAAAAACCAACCAAACCCAGAACAAAAAACTTCTCAGTGCCGTCCACAGGTGTGAAAGCTGAGCCCCTCGGTTCATCTGTTTGTCCTCCCTGTCTTGGGCTCATGTCATTCATCTGCTGCTTCTCCCCATGTGGTGACACCACTTGCTTTAAAACCACGAAGTGACCTGTATACACAATATGTGACCCTGTCTTAGTCATTCTTCCTCTGAATCTCATGCTAACCTTCCCTGATTCTCCTCTTGATCTGTTAATTCTCAGTGGCACATGTTGCCAGTTTGTCCAGAGCCACTTTTTCTGTCTTTGCTGTATGTATTTTCTTTTGTTACAGTTTCTAGTGTCCATCCATCAATCCACCCATCCATCTGTGGTTTAGGGAGCACTTATGTGCCAGACACTGGTCCAGGCCTCGGGGATAGTACAGTGAGCACAGAAGGGACGGTCTCATGGGGTTTCCATCCTAGTGAGGAGAGCCAGACAGTAAGCAGACAATGCATGTGACTTCAGGGCCGGATAAGTGCTGTGAAGGAAATAAGGAGGGTGAGGGGCTGAGAGATTAATGCTGGGAGGAGTGTTATTTTCAACAGGTGTTCAGGGATGGCCTTTTTACAAAGGGAGTGTTTGAGAAGAGACCTGAAGGAAGTGAGGGAGCAGAGGGCACAGCAAGTGCAAGGAGTGTCTTTGGTGGGCTCTAGAAACCGCAGGGAGGGGAGTGGGGTTGGGAAAGTCATGAAGGAGGGAGAGGAAGGTCGGAGACAAGTTCAGGGTAGCCTGGTGGAATGGGAGGGCAGATCATGGATGGCCTTCTGGGTCTCATTTGGATTTGGCCCTGGGTAAGTTGGTAAGCAACTGGAGAGTTTTGAGTCCAGGACTGATTGGAGAGCTAAGTTTCAGAAGAATCCCTCTACATGAGGTGTAGAAAACCGTCCAGGAGTGCGAGAGTGGAAGCAAGGAGTCCAGACAGTTAGGAGGCAGAGGAGAAGGAAACCAAGAAAGGAAATCTCACTGCTTTCAGCTTGCTGCTGGCTTTGTCTGGGTATGCCCTGGACCCTGTTGTCCCCAGAGCCAGCAGCTCAGAAGGTAGCACAGAACAAGCGGCGCTGAGCACTGAGTCACTGCCATCGGGCTGGAGCCTGCCTTCAAACCCCACATCTGTCCTCTACTCACTGTGTGAATTTACTTAACCTATGGCCATTGGTTTCTTCATTTGAAAGTGGGGATAATATTAGCCATCCTATGGTAGAGCCTTGTTTTGAGCGTGGAATGAGATCAGTATTTAAAGCCCGCCACATGGAGGGTGCCCCTAAATGACATCAGTGAATGCAGCGCATATGGGTGTGTTCAGGTGAATCCTTCTAGACTTTGGGAACTGAATGTCTCTGGAACAAGAAAGGGGTTGGGTGGGTGGGGCTAAGTCTCAGGTTTTAATCCTTCTTACCCCGAGGTTCCAATAATATCTTTGCAATGTTGGTGAGGGTGTGGAGCAGAAGGCGTGTTAGTTTGCTACCTCAGACTGCATAGCTTAACCAACAGATACTAATTTTCTTAGAATTTTGGAAACTGGAAGTCTGAGGTCAAGGTGTTGGCAGGGCTGATTTCTTCTGAGGCCTCTGTCCTTGACTTGTGGATGGCTGTCTTCTCCCTGCGTGCTCACTTGGTGTTTCCCCTATACTTGTCTGTGTCCCAGTCACCTCTTCTTAAAAGGACATCGGTCATATTGGATGAAGGTCCACTTTAATGACCTCATTTTAACTTAATTACCTCTTTAAGAATCTGTCTCCAGATACACTCACATTTTGAGGTACTGAGGGTTAGGACTGTAACTATGAATTTGGTAGGGGACACAAAAATGTAAGCTAGTATGAGGCCCAGAAATTGTTATCTTTGTCCTCTGCTCACAGGGAGGTCTGTCGTTTCATGCCCCTTGTTGTCCTAGTCATTTGTTTCCTCGGGTGCAAGACCCCTGAGCTGGATAGAAGGCAGTCATCAGCTGCCCTTCTGAGCAGGTCAAAGAACAGACCATACTCTGCAGCCTCCCTAACTCTAGAAAGTCACCTGCGTTTACTCAACTTGAGACCTGAGGTGACTCCTAACTCTATCTTCTCTCCCCGCCTATATCCTATTGTCATCTTATTGTCAGTCCTTTCTCACTGACCTCCTCCTCCTCTGGTTCCCATGACCTTGTGCCTTTCCTGGCTCCTGACACCCAGACTCCAGCTTCTCCATTCCATCTGCATCCTTCTGCCTGATGGGTTTTCCTACAGGGTAGCTTGGATCCTATCACCTGTTTCAACCCTTCATTCGACTAAGGACAGAGTCCTCTGTGGTCCAGCCCCCTTTCCAGCCCTGCCGTACTCTGCTCCTTCCCTTTGTGGACCGTTCCAGTCTGGATTTGGTGCACAGTAGAACTCTGAATCTCTGAATCCTCTCTGGACTCATGGCTCTGCACCCCCCTCAGCTCTGATTACATACTTCCTCTTCCGCAGAGGCTCCCTGAGTGCCCCAGCGAGGAGTGGGCTGCTTCTCTCCTCTCTGACCTTCTGCACTTGGCATTGCAGTCCTGTTCACCAGCGCAATATCTAGGGTGCAGAAGAACATAGGGTTTCAGAGCTGAGAGTAGCTTTTAGCAGCTGTGTGACCTGGTAAATTCAGAAATTACCTAAACTTTGTGCCTCAGTGTACTCATCTGTAAAGTGAAAATAATAATAATTTCAGGGTTTTAGTGAGAATTAAGTGAGATTGTGTAAACCTGCTGTTACTGTTAAGGACTTGTTACTATTAGGAGTAGTGGTTGCTATGTTCATAGACCTTTTTTTTTTAAATGATTTTTCTTGTGGGGAGAAGGCAATTAGGTTTGTTTGTATTTATTTATTTGTTTGTTTGTTTATTTATTTATTTAATGGAGGTACTGGGGATCAAACCCAGGACCTCGTGGATGCTAAGCATGCACTCTACCACTGAGCTACACCCTCCCCACCTTGTTCACAGACTCTTAACACATATTTTTGACTAGTTCACGTATTGATTACTTTAATTCACCTCTAGTTCTGCTCCAGGATGGAGTCTCTTTACTCTTTTTAAAAACTCATAGTTATTATTGAATGCACAGGAGAAAATAGACATTTAATTCATTTTTTTTTAATATTCCACATTTAAAGTGTTATTTTTAATGTCTCTGGTCCCATGGATCCTAGGCTGCAGAGCCGTGCTGCTAATTCACCTGTACGTACCGAATGGTCAGTAATGACCACCGCGTGCCCTGCTCCCCCCACACTCTGCCCCTTTCCCTCTCCTCTCAGTCCGAATGTTAGAGGGGAGGCATCTGGCTAAGCAGGTAGCCCCTAGGTCCCCTGGCCCTTCCTGATGGGTTAAGTGCCCATACTGTACCAGTTGTTCAATATTTTGAATATCATCCCAGGACTTGATTTGTCTTACATTCTTTTTCTGAATGAGAATTTCTGTTGGATTTTCTCCTTCGAGACCTCTCTATGGGATAGGTGTACCTTGGTACATCCTAAACTCACCTGGCCTCCTTAAAATCATTGAGACAAGGCAAGTTGGGAGGACTGAGCTGGACTCTGTGGGACCACTGCTGACATGTGTAGCACCCCAGGAAGGCCTGGGTCCAGTGTTTAGCTACTGGGCTACCCTCAGGAGGCACGAGCAGCAACGCCCAACTCCAGTCTTGGTGATCCACTGAACAGGTAGGACACTGAGAAGCTTGGAGCTCCTGGTTCTTCCTGTCAACTTGTTCTTCCTCTGCCTTGCTTGAAGGCAAGATAGTCCTGGCACCACCCAGTGCTGTTTGGTTCTTATTTCTTGCTTAACCTCCAATCCAATAAAGTGTCATATAAAGACCTGGCAAGACTGGATAGACCAGCGTAAAGCTGCGCTGATGGAAAGTGCACAGCATGTTCTGTGTGCTGGAGGTATGTTGGTTTCTACAGGGAAACCAGTAGGACCCTCCTCTATCATATAATGTTTGCTGGACTCCTCTAGGTTTATAGCACTGTGTGTAGAACAGGGAGCCCTAAAATGGGATTCCAAAAGCTAAAGTAGCCCTTCCCTACCACTGTGTGATTTGTGGCAAGTTCTTCAACCTCTCTGAGCCTGATTGTGAAATGGGGATTATACCCATGACCCAGCCCTGCCTTGATAGGTTGTTGTGAGGATCCGGTGAGGTTAAGTGTGCTTTGCAAGTGTAAGGTGTTGTTGTTGGTTTTGTTGTATTGCATAATGTGTGGGGTGGGGTGGGGAGAAACCACAGATATTTTCCACAGCCACTGCCTTTTATTCTGGTCATGACACCATGGTGACCAGTAATGGCCATGCATGACCCTCCTGTATGAGAGGAAGTATAGGAGTTGGTAAGATTGGGGCTCCAGAATCTGACTGTCCTGGTTCAAGTTGAGGGTCTACCATGTACCTGCTCTGTGGTCTTGGACAAGTTTCTCATCCACAATGTGGTGATAAGAATTGCAGCCACCTCACAGTGTTGTTGGTGAGGATTAAATTAGTTAATATTTCTAAGTGTCCAGACTTGGCATGATACTATAAAGTGCTAAATAAAAATGTTTATGGAAAATTTGATTTTTTTTTCTTTTTGTTAATTCTTGGGGCTCCACGCTGACAAATGTGAAAGATTTCAAAAGGATGTCATAGTCTTTCCAAAATCTTTCATGAAATATGTATTTGCATAAACCAACAAAATTAATGCCTTGAGAATTATATGTTACTAAGAATATATGGCACAGGAGCGAGGATGTACATTACCAAGTCTGTACTCATCCCTATAATATCCCAGTGGCCAACAATTTACTTCTTCTGATACCTTGTGGTTCTTCAAGGAGAGAGGAAAGGAGGAATGTGGTTAAAAACCGAATAACAAACTAGAAACAGAAGTGCTGACTTGATGGTGTCACTTTTTTCCCATTTCTGTTCCATGAATATGATGTCAGGAATTTAAAAGTAGATCCTCATTGAACAATTTACATTAATTGCCCTCCAAGTGGTTTCTTATGGAAAGTGTGAATATTGGAGGTAAAAATCTGTTTTTAAATGATGAAATTCCTTGTTGTGTCTACTGCCAGGAGCAGTTGGAAGAATTTGGTAGACCACCTCCTTAGCTCTGTTAGGAAAAACTGCCTCTAGTTTCTTTGGAAGACGATTTTTTACAGGGAGTAGCATTGTGTGTCTGGGAGCTATTGATTAAAAAGAGAATAAACCATCCACTGTCTTTTCTCGGGACAAAAAGTGGCGAGACCCTTTTTACCTGACTGAAATTGACTGCTTACTGTTGCTGCCTTGGCTGAAAAACAAGTCTGGTCTGCTAGGTGGCTCAGGCAGACACCACTGTTGAACGGCAGCCATTAACTTAAAAAACCAAAACAGCACCGAGAAGTATTGAAATGACTGTACTTTGTGACATTTTCCAAATCATGCCCTTTACCAAACCATGAAGGACGAGAATTATTTAAAAGACCTTAAGAGTTTTAACTCCTCTTGGCTTTTCTTGCCTTTTTAAAAATTGAGGTGAAGTTCACATAACATAAAGTTAACCATTTTTAAGTGAGCAATTCAGTGGCATTTAGTACATTCACAGTGTCGTGCAGCTATCACCCTGTCTAGTTCCAAAACATTTTCATTACCCCACAGAAAACCCTGTACTCATTAAGCACTTACTTCCCATTCTTCCAGGTTTTCTTCCTCCCTCCCTTCCTTCCTTCCTTCCTTTCTTTCTTTTTAATGAGGAAGGCTAGTTACAGGGATTTGTGTGCGTTTTGTTTTGTTTTATTTTGTTTTTAATGGTTATTCATTTGGTGCTTTCTCAGAACATGACTTTTTGTTTCAAGGGTGAATAATCTTGGCTTTCGTGATTTTAGGAGACCAAAACTGTAGGTAGAGATGACTCTTTTAATGTAAGGGCTAATTGAGGAAGATTCGTTGTTAGACATAAGTAGGCAAGGTTAGCTCTTACCCACTTGGAGATGCAATGGCATAAGAATGGTCCAGGATGGCTCTAAGACCAGAAAGATCTCTTCAAGACATTGAACTCTTTTCTTTTTTTTTGAGGGTGGGTAGCTGAGGAGGTAATTAGGTTTACTTGTTTGTTTGTTTGTTTATTAAATGGGGTACTGGGGATTGAACCCAGGACCTTGTGATGCTAAGCGTGCACTCCACCACTGAACTATACTCTCCCCCACATTGAACCCTTTCAAAACTACAAGAAACTCAGAGTCACTCCAAAAAAATGCTGAGTTTTCACATATATGCTATTTTCTTTATATCCTGTTTCATTCTGTTTCCCTTACATCCTGTTTCATTCTCTCCTGCCATTCTTTACTGTCATCTAAAGGAGAGATAGTCAGATGGTATTCAAATTGCCAGCGAAGGCCAACCTTACTGTTGCAGGGATGGCCACAGCTTCTAGTTGGGAAGCTTTGGTAGTAAGCGAGTCCCCTTTCTGG